GGGGGCACGATGCCTGGAAGAGAGACGAGATGCACAGTTGCCCCGGTAACCGGGAATTAGTAGGCTTATGCGTGTGTGCGTTTGTGTCACAGCACTCACTTCCTCAGCACGGCGATCTCGTTCTCGATGCTGCTCTCCTTCCCCTTCAGAGCCTTCTTGGGGATGCACTTCACCGCAAACATCCGGCCAGTCAGCTTCTCCTGGGCCAGGACCACCTCTGAGAACGCCCCTCTGTGGACACATGAAGAAGTTAGGTGATTAACTGGCAGCTTGATGATGGACAGCGTGAACTTGATTACACTGGTGTCAAAACGTCTTTTATAACAAGGAGCTGAGAAACAAACTGTTATACACCCTGCAGTGTCAAGTCGACAAGAAATTAATCTGAAGGGGAGAAACTAATCCTTAAAGCTGCACCCTCATATAAACATTCATGACAAAAACAGACAGATTAGAAAATATTCAGACAAACCACAGTCCTTTCTCAAAAATCTGAAGCTTGCACTTCACTGCACATCTGATGTGTGGCATATATAACACATGCATTACATCAAGCCAAGGCACTGTTTGTTATACAGCACATTAAAGACAACAGCCATTGTGCTCTCCAGTAAAAAATAGCATGATTGATATTACAAAATCGACTCAACGAGTTTTAATATCGGGGTTGTCGTGTCAGTTTTAGTGTGAGTTCAACTGAGTGATTTAAATGCTTTGGATTAAAACCCTGCAATTAAAAAAAAGATTAGATACTGCCACGACTGTCACTGTCAACTGCTTTGAACACAAATCATTCATGTGATATATCTTGTCTCCGAGGCACTTGTTTTGTGCCATTTTCTTTGTCTGTCAGGATGCAAAAACTACTAAGTGCATATTCCCAGTGCAGTACAGGATAATTTCCAGTTAACAAAGATTTAATCACAAATGATTTGTAGCTGCTCACAAAATAGATTTTAAGATCCAAAGTTATATTTTAACTCTTTGTCTCTATTGGCACCAAAGCAAACACAAAGAACAAAACACTCCCTCATGTAATTTTAAATAAAAAGCGAGCCAGTCTCTGTAAACTCAAGATTCAACACTATGTGAGTTCACTTATTTTGCCTTAAAATCCCATTTGCAACAGGTACAGTCTGTATCTGACAAATCTTAACGTGCAGAAAATTACACCGCAATGGTAATGTGATTGGATCTGCCGAGCGTAACATTAGAACATTAGCAATTTTATCATTTATTCACTTAGAACAACTGCGACGGTTGAAAATTATTGCAAATTTTTTTTGTTTCTCGCATCATAAAAACTGATGATCCTCCATCACAATCACGACATCAGTATTAGGCAGAGTAATTTGAAGTTTAAATTCAGTGACGGCTTTCGGTCTTGAATGAGTGTTTGTTTGTGTGTGTGTGTGTGTGTGTGTGCGTCATGAAGACAAGCAGGGTGATGAATGAAGATGAGCCTATTGCGAGTTAATCTGCCTGAACCGAGTTTTGACTGCTGCGTCGATCTGCCTTCACCTATCTATTAGCGTAAACACGTCTCTATCCTTATCTCTGCTTCCTCTATTTGTCTTCCCTCTGTCCATCGAGCTGCATGTGACACAAATCCAGACTTCAGAAACCTGTTAAATGCACAGTAATGTTACATCCCAGACCACAAGCCTCTTAAGGCTCTTACGGCCTAACGCCTTGCTTTTTATCTGAACATTTAGTCCAGTGTGAGCCTGCAGGTAGCTTGCCATCCTCAGCCAGCTGTCTTTTTACTGTTCAGCCCATCTGTGAAGGAAACACGACTGGCTGAGTCAGTATCAAGGGTTTTTCCTGCATAGAGGAATTTTTGGAGCCCTCCGGAGAAGGCTTTGCTGGATCAAAGCTTTCTAAATGGTCAGAAATAGCAGGAAAATGCATAGAGATCTGTCACATAAGATGACACTGTCTTTACTGGACCGATCACGCCAAAGGCCCTTCTGAGCCAGATATCAGCAATCTTTTTAAAATACACTTTTACAGTAGAGGTCACCCTAATTTCTACTTGATCTTGTATCAAATGTTTTCTCGCCCTTTGGGGCTCAGAGGGACGATCTTAAACGACGTGATATCGCCCTCTGAAGCTCCACTCTGCTCCAGCAAATTCCTCACTGAAACATCTTTCTGTTCAGCTGCTAAATGTTCTGCCAGCTGGCTACCGACTGCGCTGCTCACAGGATGAATTGGAACACATCGAAAACAACACCAATAAACTTCCAATCTGCTTCAGCTTTACTTTGTGTTTAGTGAAACATTAGCATGCCACTGTCTGCTCTGACAATCAGATTCACAGCCTTTCAGGAACATCCACCAGAGCCCTGCGTGGTATTTTGTGTTTGAGTAGTGCAGCCGTCTGAGTAGCAGATCTGCACATACATACGGTAGCTTGAAGTCAGTGTACAGGCACCTTGCAGAAACTATGAATTGTCTGGTTAATCTGTTGCCTTGTGCACTACTTGAATTTTTAAAAATACAAACACATTACAGTTATTACCAAAAAAAGAAGACTGATGGAAGTAATAAGGTTCATATAACCTGATACACCACTGTGAGTACTGGAAAGATAATGTGGATGGAAAGTCAAATCATGCTCCGAAATGACTCTATTAACCTTGTTCTGTTGATTAAACAATTCATTTATATTATCTGTCAGGGCCTTATATTCACATCAGTCACTCAAAGGTTTCAGGAACCCACAGGTCAATTAATTTCCAATATCTCCATGCAGCACACCTGCCTGTTAGGAAAATCTCACATCGGCTTGCTTTTCATACTGACGGCCACAACACTACTACACCTTCATCCTGATGTTTTCATTCATCTGCTGTTTCATTCGTGTGCATTCTGGTGAGTGTGTTTGTGCCGCAAGTGTGCTTAAAGCTCCTCATTCAAGGAGAAAGAGGCTGTTGTGAATGAACTCTCTATCGCATCAATATGTGTGCCGCGGTGCAGAAAGCCCTCGAGCCCTTTAGAGGGAAGCACATTTGACAAGTTGTCCATCAGCCACAAGGCCGCTTTGTCTTAAAAGCAGCGTCGTACCGACACAGAGAAAGATGGTTTGCCGCCGCCGCCGCCGCCGCCGTTCCCACAGTACTTGTTGTTTTTTTTTTCTCACGCCTCTCTCGCTTCCTTCTCACCTTCACCTCCTTCTCCCCTCCCTCCCTTTTTGTCATTCTCCCTTTCATCTCTCATCTCATGCTCCACACATCTTTTACAGAGACAAGTGACCATGCTGCCGGTTGCCCCTGGCGATCAAGGTGGACCATTTGGCGGCCAATCAGATCGCTTCGATTGGCTCGCGCGCACGCACAGCAGAGACCTGTGTGCGCTGATAATGGCTGTTGTGGGTTTTGGTGACGTCAAAGCCAGACAAAACAAGTGGGCCGTGCTGTTTGTATTGTTGCTTCGCTCGATCTCACGCACAAAGACACACACACACACACACACAGGGTTGGAGCTGTTCATTCATTACCCTCAGACACACACACATACATGAATGAAAATCATCTTTGGGATAACAAATAAACCCACAGATACATTCATAAGCTCTCGGCCATGTGTGTTTTTGTGCACAGGGGGCGTCTTCCCCACTGAGAGTCCATGAACTCAGCTTCTACCTGCACTAACACCCCCATTATAATCCCAATAATCCCATAATAACATCAGCAGAGAACAAACACAGGGTGGCTTCACAGGTAAACAAGAGCAGAATATCTGTATTATATGAGTTAATACCAAGATTTTTTTTCTTCTTCTTCCTCCTCGGTCAGCAGAAAATGATTACTCTGCTACACCAGTGCAATAAACAAACACTCCCGTTCCATTAGCGACAACTGTTTAGCTTAAACTCCACCTCACAACAGCAGCATCTGTAATTATGGCACACTGACTCCTCACAGCTGCAGTTGTTATTAGTCATCACAGGAGCAGTTACACCTGCAGTTACCTTTGTGCTCTGTATTGTGAGTATTTCTTTTCAACTGAAGATGTAAAATCATTTTTATTAAAGCTGGTATATTCAACGGATCAAACGATTGTGTGCCATGTTCAGCAGGCACGTGATGGAAGAGCAGAGTTATCACCCATCTCAGTTCCACTCAGCGTCTGTCAGTTGTGTTATTATTGGCAGCAATAAGAATTTTTGGTTAGAAAGTTGTAAGCAGCTAAAGAGCCTGATTCCCCAATACAGAAAAAATATCTCAATAAATGTTATTAGTATTGGCTAATACGCTCTTAACATCAAACTAAATAGGAGTGTATATGGTGTCCATCCCTCCAGCACAGTTCCAAACGTGGAAAATCTATGCCAACGAGAGAGAGTGTTGTTTTTTCTGATTATTGGTTTGGCTGATTATTAGATTATTCGATCCAATACTCAGCATTTTTCCAATTACTGTTATTTGTTTTTTTTTTTTTTAATGTTGTTCGATTTTAATTAAATATATGTAAAATGGGGACTGCAAGGTGGAGCGGTGGTTAGTACCGTTGCCTCACAGCAAGAAGGTCACCAGTTCGGACACCTGGATCTTTCTGCGTGGTGTTTGCATGTTCTCCCCATACAGCGTGGGTTCTCTCTGGGTTCTCTGGCTTCCTCCCACTCAGTCCATTGGTGATTCTAAATTGTCCGTAGGTGTGAATGTGAGTGTGCTTGGTTGTCTGTCTCTAAGTGTAGCCCTGTGATAGACTGGTGACCTGTCCAGGGTGTCCCCTGCCTTCAACCTGAGTCAGCTGGGATAGAATCCAGCCCCCCATGACCCTAGTGAGGATTAAGCGGTGTATAGATGATGGATGGATGGATATGTAAAAGGCAAGTAAGCTAAGGTATCGTAACAAAGGTTTGTGTTGGCGCTTGTGTTTGTCAACATTTGGACACCAGGATGTTTTATTGTAATAAGTTCTAAATATTGGTTATCTGTCTTCTTTATTACTCATAATCAGTGTCCGTAGCAGCTCAGAAAAAACAGTTCTATTGACCTTTAGAAGAGATTATAGTAAAAAAAACAAAATATTGATGTACAAATGATCAGAAGTGATATGATAGGACAGAAAATTGAAAATAGTTCTGATCAATGGTAAAGCCACAAATATTGATTAAAACATCAGCAAATACATGTTTTAATAAGCCATCATTTGCATTCACACAGTGAAATGCTGGTGGGAAGAAGCAAAAGAAAAAAATGAAGCTAAACTGTAGTGAAATG